CCCCCCCCCCCCCCAAGCCTGTACAACTGGATAGCTACTTTGGGAAATCAGAGGCATTTCAGAAACTTTTATGATGTTAGGTGGGAGGACTGCTGTTTAAAGAAAAGAAAAATCAATCTCCCAGAAAATTCCTAATGGAATGTTCCGTACGGTCTGAATCCTTATAATGCATAAGAACTCTCAGCACTTCACTCTGATCTCAGCTGCTGTGGAGTTGCAAAACTCACAGAGAAAAATACATTTTGGGCTCTAATATTATGAATGGAAAAACAGTTCCTTTGCACATGGCAACTGAGCCTAGAAATGCTGTATTTAGTCTTTGCTATTTTGTTTTGGAGGAGGCCAACATGCTACACATATTCTGTAGTATGTATTATGCAGCTCTTTTGAATTCAGCGGTGTTTCTCTCATCTTCCTTATGTCATGTGCCCTGATGAAGTTTCCTGATCAAGGAAGGTGTATGACATGCACAGCACATGCCAAAGTCACTTTTCAATGAGAAATAACTTGGCTATGAAGATTTTAAAAGTAAACTTAGAAGAATGATGCTCTTGCCAATAAAAATCTGTTTCAGAAACCTGAAATTCTACCTTTGTTACAATAAGTTTACCCTGCCTTAGTATAGCTAGAATTCTACCTAAGGAAATGTCTATACTAACTTTAGTCTTGTGGATCTGAGGAGCATCTGAAGAATGTAAGGGGGGGAGACATTAAGAGAGGCCTTTGAAGCATGTTTTCATTAATGTGTAGGCTATCTCCAGAAGCAAGTTACAAATATTTTAAATAAAAAAAAATGGCCAAGTTATTAATTAATTGAAAAAGTGAACTTGTTAAAAGCTATTCAACTTATGCTCATGCTGCTGGGTTCAGTTTTGATACAGCACATAGTCATCTATACGGCTTTCTTGATTATAGCACATGTACTTTACGTTTGTTGAAATACATTTGAGTTCAGTTAATTTAGACAATGCAGCATTTACCAATGACAACCTGCCATCGTATTAAGCAAAGCTGAGGTT